TGAACCGCGGTCCCTGATGCCTTGCCAAGCTTGTTCCAAGTAGGTGTTCTAGACCACTGAGCCATCTCTCCAGCCCCAGCTTAGGGATTTTTTACTTCATTTTACGTCAGGCTGCCTGCAGGTACAGGTGTGTTGCTGCCTTATTGCCAGTCACGTTAAATACAGTATATGACAAGTTTATCAATACTGTACTATAGGTAACCATGTGAGTGTATATAGTGGCCCACATGCTGATTGAAAGGCAGTAAGATGGTGATTATGGTGGAGTTAAGGAAATCATGAGAAAATAGGAACAAGGTGTTCGAGGACCCAAATTACATCATGAGAAGCCCGCATTGACCATTTGCCAATATTAAGGAAGAAGTAAGAGGGCTAGATGCACACATGACCATCAGAGCAGCGACCATGTGCTCTGTAGATGTACAGAAGTTGCCCTTAGTTTCAATAAACAAGAAAATAATAGGTGACATTGTGACTGAGGACTTTATCTGTAAGAAGGCAGAGGTATTGTAAGTAGACTGAAGGGTTCAAGGTGTGCAGGGTTTGGTGTCACAATATAAGAGGAGACGTGGCTTCTGTAGTGTTGTGAGGCAGGGAGGCTATGAGTTTGGAATATGAGGCACCTAAGGCATCCACTCCTGAGTTCCAGAAGTGCTCTGTTTCTGAGTGTTACTTCTCAGAGCAAGTGTTTAACTGTGATGAGACAGGTTTTTTAGAAAAAGATGCCAAAGAGCACTTACAATACAGAAACAGAGAATGCATTGCCTGGTCCCAAGCCCATGAAAGACCATCTTGCCCTCTTGTTTTGTGGTAATGTAAGCAGGGATTTCAGAGTCAAGCCCCTCGTCATGTCTCAGAGAATCCACCAACCTTCAAGAATGCAAGGTGCAGAAGAGCAGTCACTCATGTGGAGGGCAGCAGCAAGGCTTGGATTGCTGTATTGTTTTCTTCGAGTGGATCACAGAGGTCTTTGGTCCTATGGCAAAGAAAACCTCTTAGGAGAGAGCCTGCCACTGAGAGCTTTGCTGGTTGTAGATAATGCTCCTGTTCATCCTCCAGACTTTGAGGATGACTTACTGGAGGAATTTCGGTTCTAAGGTCAAGTTCCTCCTGTACCACACCACCCTAGTCCTCCAGCCCATCACAGGTCATTTGAACCTTACAAAGCTTCATTCCACTTTACAAAGCAGTGCTTTGAGGAGACCAAAAACCTTGTCCTCTGAGGGTTTTGGAAAAATTATTACCACATCATGAACTGCCTCAAGATCATCAGTAAAACTATGGCCTGACTGCATTCTTGGACATGACATAGAGGGGCCTGTTCATGAACAGGAGCCACCAGTTGTCTCTGAAATTGTATTGTTGGAAGAGACGGTAGGAGCTAAATGAGGATGATATTCAAAAGCTTGTAGAGGAATAATTCCAACACTGAGGCAAGCAGATCGCTGGGAGTTGAAGGCTAGCCTGGGCTACAAAGTGAGTTCAAGGCCACCCTGAACTACACAGCAAAACCCTGTCTCAAAACAAGATTAGGGAGATTTAGAAAATGTGGGAAACTGCAAAATCTTGTAGAAAAGAAATACCAGAGTAAAGCTGTAATGGTGTGAGTGATGAATCTGTTTAATGATTAATCCAATATCACTTTTCCATGAAATCCTTCCTCAAAAGGAGGCAAAAGCTAGTGTCCCTAGATAGATTGCTTGTTAAAGCTGCAGGGAAAGAAGATTCCATTGAGCCAGTGGACAGCAGCAATTCTCTTAGTGCTATGAAAGTTGTCCTACACAGTAACCCTCCTCTCCCTGTTTCCCTTACACCAGCTACAAAGGTTTTCAAAGGAAGTGCAGGTTAATTTATTTTTCTTTATATTCTGTATTTTTTATTATTTTGTGTTCCAGTACTGTAATATTTTATATGAATATTTTTAAATGTATTTGGTTATTACAGGGTCTCATTACGCAGCTCAGACTCATATTGATCTTCCTGTTTTTCAGCCTCCCTAGCGCTGGGATTACAGGTGCATGCCACTACACCCACCCAGACGCTGGCTGGCTCATCCCACCCTCGGGGCAGGGCTGGTGTGGCATGTGGTGCCAGGGATCGAACTGCAGTCCCTGTGCTTGCCTCAGCTTGCTTAAGCAGGTGCTTTAGTCACCTGAGCTATCTCGCCAACCCCTATATGAATAGTCTGGGATTATAGAGTGAATCATCTGAGTTTTCATTGTTTTTTTAAGGGTTAATTTGTTTTAATATGCAAGTATTTTTTGGATTACAATTATTTTTCCAGAATGAATTAGCTCCCAAACCAAGGTTTTACTGTAGTTGGGAGTCTGAGGTAGGATCCCATGTTCAAGCCCAGCCTAGGCAAATTAGTGAGAGCTTGTTTCAAAATTAAAAGGGCTGGGGCTGTAAAACACTTGCTTATCATGTGCCAGACCCTGGGCTCAATCCCCAGCACAGCACATCCCAATAAAAGCACCCCAGACAGTTGTGGGTGCTCTAGGCCCCACACCAGGGTGTCCCATTGTAGTATGCATAGCCAAGTCCCTCCAAGCCTCCTGTGCTGAACCTTTTGCTGAGATCAGCCCCAAATAAGTTCTCAGAACTTACACCAGTCCTCTGGTCACTATGCTTTAAGTCCACACAGAGTGGGCATCTTCTGGCTGGAAGGGATTCCCAGCTCCATTCTCCCTGTGCCCTGCCTGCCACAGCCAGGGTGTGTCAGGCAGGGATGAGACAGGTGCCTGTCCTCAGAAGGGAAACTCAATCTACCCACTAACCTTGGGCTACATGCACTGTGCCTAAGAGTAAGGTGTTTGAAACACTTCCCCTGCCCCAGGGAAGCCCCCACCCCTTCCTAGCCCCCACCCTGGTATTTCCTGTCTCTAGGGCTCCCATATGGCAAATGTTGCAGCCTCACACCCTTCCTGGCCTCGTGCTGTCCCGGCAGCGCGGGAACGACCTCTCTTTGCTCGTGGGGCCTCTCCACTCTGAGCACTCGCACCCGGGTTCCACCACAGCTGCAGAGACCAAGACCAGGGAGCGGAATTGCAGGCCGCAGTGGGCACTTAGTGTGCGCTTTGGTTTGGGGCCTGCTGCCTGCCACATGGGCGCTGATTTACACTGCACCTTGGCTACCTAGACTCTGTTGGTCACAGTGGTGAGGCCTCACGTGATTGCACAACAGCCCCAATCCCCTGGGGAGGGTAGTTGGCCTCCAAAGCCGACCCACCTCCAGATCCCTTCACCGCGTGGGTCCCTGATGCTTTGGGGCTGGGGAGTTGGAGGGTAGACGGCTCCTGGCCGAGCTCCGTGCCGACCCGTCTGCGCCCGCAGCCCCAGCGGGAAGAAGTTCCGCAGCAAGCCCCAGCTGGCGCGCTACCTGGGCGGCTCCATGGACCTGAGCACCTTCGATTTCCGCACGGGCAAGATGCTGATGAGTAAGATGAACAAGAGCCGCCAGCGCGTGCGCTACGACTCCTCCAACCAGGTCAAGGTGAGCCGGCGGAGTGACGTCAGGGGGCGGGGCCATGCCCCAGGTGTGCTGGGGTCCGGGGCTGGTCCCACTGCAGCAGTCCGGCAGGCCATGGCGCGCACGCGGCCCCCGTGGCTTCCCGAGCCGCTGCTGTTCCTGCCTGGGCCTTTGCCCGTCTCTGCCCTCTGCCCTGGACCTGGGCCCACCGCAGCCGCCCCCTGCCCCACTCCTACCCCTGGTCTGCCCCTGGGGATCCCCGCCGCCCCAGCACGCCGCAGCGCCTTGTCCCCGCAGGGCAAGCCCGACCTCAACACGGCCCTTCCTGTGCGGCAGACGGCGTCCATCTTCAAGCAGCCAGTCACCAAGATCACCAACCACCCCAGCAACAAGGTCAAGAGCGACCCACAGAAGGCGGTTGACCAACCGCGGCAGGTGAGCACCCCTGCTCTCGAGGCAGTGCCTGGCTCAGCCACTCCAGGTGGCTGTTTGTCCCCCATTTTAAGTATGGTGGGGAGGGGCTTCCCTGCCCAGACCGCGGTTCACTGTGGGAAATTCGTCGGAAGCCAAGGCGGAGCCACAGTCCGCACCCCCCTTGCCTTCTGACCCATTTCAAGTAGTCGTTGGGGTTTGTGGACAGATAGGTTAAATAAGATGATACACTCGGGAGGCAAAGGCAGGTCGATGGCTACCAACCTGAACTACATAGTGAGACCCTGTCTCAGAAATCGGGATCGGCAAGAGATGGTGCAGTGGACTGAGGGAGCAGCTCACTTGCCCTGTGTGCAGGACACTAGGTTCTATTCTCCGCTCTGCCAAAGAAAGTACAGCACTTAAGTGTCTGTAATCCCCCATTTCAGAGCCTTGTGATTTGCTTGTTTGTGGACACTCCCTGGGCATATGGGTGTGGTGGGTGTTTGGCAAGGCTGTTGGCCCCTACACAGTGAGATTCTCCAGGGTGGGGTGGGACATGGGAAGGAGCAGGGAGAGGCCCCTTTGCAGTGGCCCGGCGAACCCTGCCACCCTTGTCTCCTCACAGCTGTTCTGGGAGAAGAAGCTAAGCGGGCTGAGCGCCTTCGACATCGCAGAGGAGCTAGTCAGGACCATGGACCTGCCCAAGGGGCTGCAGGGTGAATATTCCTGCCAGCAGGCTGGAGGGCTTCTGCCGGGGGCATCTGGACTTGTGGGCGGAGTCTCCTACAAACTTGACCTTGGAGCTGGTAGCCCAAGAGATAGGGAGGGGCTGGGGACTGGGGACCTTCTGGTGTGGAGAAAGGCCTGCCCAGGCTGGGGAGATTGGGTGGCGGCACCCGTCTGGTTGCCCATCACCAGCTCCCCCAGCAAACCCAAGCTACCCACTTGCTGGTGTGTTTGATACTTGTTGCCCCACTGAACTCCCTGCAGCACCCAAAGAGCCCCAGCTCCTGGCTTCTCTGCTGGGTAGGAGGTTAGGACAGGTTTGAGGAAACAAGGCCGAACCCAAGCCCAAATGGAAAGGCAGGACACTACCTGGCTGGTCCCCCTGTGTGCTGAGTGCTTTGGTTGCTGTGCCCCTGTGACTCTGCCACCTGGGACTGTGGCTCCATGCCCTGCAGGCGTGGGTCCTGGCTGCACCGATGAGACCTTGCTGTCCGCCATCGCCAGCGCTCTGCATACCAGCACCATGCCCATCACGGGACAGCTCTCGGCCGCCGTGGAGAAGAACCCGGGTGTGTGGCTGAACACCACGCAGCCTCTGTGCAAAGCCTTCATGGTGACCGACGAGGACATCAGGTAGTCTACAGCCCTCGATTCCCCTCTTCTTGTGTCTGTTCCTTCTGTGACACATGCATGTGTGCTGACACTGTTTGAAACAGGTAGTCACACAGCAGGCAGGTCAGGCTGGTAAGGCACATGCTGGACAGTACTAACCACTGGGTGTTGGGTCATCAGGCTCAGGGAGCTGTCCAGTGGGGAGAGGTGACCTAGGACAGTCCCTGGGCCCTGGGTTTGGACTGGAGTGTAGTGCACAGGCCACATGCCTTTGGGATGAGATTCAGGGATGTGGGTTAATACAGTAGCCAGGAGATGGCAGTTTGCTAAAGCACTTGGGAAAGAAGCAACTGGAACTAGCCTTAGCAATCCAGTGTGGAATTGATGCAGAGCCCTGGCTTCTGAGCAGAAAGCTAGGCCTCTCCTATGAAACTGAAACAAGCTTGTGACTGGGTCAGCTCTGGTGCCACCTGCTGCTTGACACTCTACTGCAGAGGTGGGAGGCAGTGGTTCCCCCAGCTCCAGGAGACTTGGCTGATGCCTTGGGCCGAGTCCAAGCGAGTGTGGCCAGGTCCAGTGCCTGTGTCCCCAGGATGCCCCTGTGTCCCCAGGAAGCAGGAGGAGCTGGTACAGCAGGTGCGAAAGCGGCTGGAGGAGGCACTGATGGCCGACATGCTGGCCCACGTGGAGGAGCTAGCACGGGATGAGGCACCACTGGACAAGGCCTGTGGGGATGAGGATGAGGAAGATGAGGAAGACGAGGAGGAGGAGGAGCCTGAGCCAGACCCGGACCTGGAGCGCATCTAGTGCAGGTGCCCAAGGATAGCTCTGGACTCGGTACTAGGCTCATCCAGACTTCGTCTCCCCAGAGCCCATGCCCCATCACAGGCCAGGTGCTCACGGTATCCCCTCTGCTCCTTTCCAGGTGCTCACCCTCCTCCGCTCTGCCCACTGCACCTGGCCCTGCCACACTGGGGCTAGGCTTGGTGGCCACAGTAGGAAGGGTCAGCTGGAGTTCACCCTTCCTGGGTGCCCCTCCCAAGCCTCGGGGTGTGGCAGAGGTCACTGCCCCATGGACTTGGGCATGGAGTGTGGCCAGCTCAGGCCTGCAGGGCAGCAGGCCCCTCCACATGGAACTCAGGGCCACTGCTCCTTGGCTATGAGGCAGGACAGTGCCAGTGGGCTTGCCCCTTACCCCGCGCCACAAGGCCTGCAGCTGCCATGTTTCCATGAGTTGGAGAACATTCTGGAAACAATCTGACCCCAGCTCTGCAGTGAGGAACATAGTCCTGAGCCAGCAGGCCAGCCCTTTGGGACACTGTTGCTGCAACCCTGCAGCCCCCCAATGGGTAGAGTTGGTGACCCTCAGAAGGGCACCTGGGCAGTTGCCCCAGGAGGCTGATTTCTTTGAATAAATGGATGACATGAATGAGGCTGGCCTTGGGTGTGACCGACCTTCAGTGTGAGCAGCACCTCACTTTCTTTTTGAACCCATACTGCCTGCAGCCTTGCTCCCTAACACTGAGCCTCAGTTTCCCTTTCCACGTGGTGGGGATGGAGTTGCCCAGCTCAGGGAGAAGCTGATCAAAGTACTGTGACCCACAGGGATAGGCTGTGACTGCAGGATGTTTCTTCTGGAGCCTCTAATATGCCACTGGGCTCAGGAGAGAGGTGCCATCCTCCTTGCCTGCCTTGAGTGGATGCTGGCCCCTGGTGCTCAGTGTCCCCTCACTGGCAGCAGTCCTCAGGCCATATCCCCCCCCTCCCCCCGTGCGGTGGTGCTTCTTGGTCAGGACTTGCATTCAAGGTCCCCTGACCTGGGATACCAGGAAGGGAGGAGCAGCTCTGGGCCAGCCATCTACTTGCTGGGCTGGGCTCCTGCCAGGTGGCTTGAGAGCCTTGCTGTGGCCCAAGGGCCCAAAGAGGAGATGGGCCTGAGGTGTCAACAAGCGTCTGGCTCTGGAGCAAGGCCCAGAACCCGAGCCTGTGTGTGGAGCCTCAGCCAGGTCACCCACCCCAGGCTATGGACTCCAGGGCTTGATGAAAGAGATTCGCACCCTGCATGTAGCAAAATGAGTTTAAGGCCATCCTGGGCTATGCAGCAAATTCTAGGCCAGCCTGGAATATGGATCAGGACCCTGCCTCAGAGTAAGCTGAGGTGTAGGGGCCCCTGCTGTGCAGACACTCAGGATGCAGCAGTGACCCTAGTGTTAGCCAGGTTTCCAGGCTGTGGCCCCAGGGTCCCCGTCACTCTTGGCCACCTCAAGGGAGGGCAGCACTGAGGCCTCGCTCACCACCTGTGGACCTGGAGAAGTGAGATGCTACCCAGAGCACCCCCTGCTGGGCTCCTCCCACACATCAACTGCCCAGCCCAGGAGTGACCTGGGGACCCTCTTACCTGCCTGGCCATGGCTCCTGTCCCCATCCACGGCTGAGGGAGAGTTGATGGCCTGGATCCCTCTCCTGATCCTGCCCGCCCCTGTCACTGAGAGGCCAAAGGGAGTCACTCTGGCCTGAGAAGGTATGTGTGGCTGTCACCCAGATTGGGTCCCCTACCTGTGACTGGCTGCGGCACAGCCCAGCGTCCCCTTGAGCCCCCCCAGGCCGTCACACCTCAGTCCCAGCCAGCTGGCACTGCCTCACTGCAGCCAGAGCTTCATGGCTCAGGGTCCTGTGTGCTCAAGGGCGGTGACTGCACCCTAGTTTTCCCTGGCTCCTACATTCAGCCCTTACCCAGAGGAGCTGAGACAGTGGTCAACACTAGAGCGCATTCTACCATTCAGACCCTGGGGCTCCCAGTGCTCTCTGCCTCTGGGCCCTGCTCTACCTGTAGCCCCAACTCCAACAAGTCCTTCCAGGAGGTGCCTGCTTGTCTAGATCCTCTGCCCTAGAATTTGCCATGAACATGGGGTACAGCTGGAAAGCTCTTCTGGAAGTCATTCAGCCAAGGACCATCAGGCTTGGGTAGAGGGGGTGGCAGAAACCAAAGGGTGGGTAACGTCAGGATGCAAAGGGACAGGCATAGTGGCACATGCTTATAATTTCAGCTACCAGGGAGGCTGAGACAGGATGATTCGAAGTTTAAAACTAACCTGGACAACTTAACAATTTACTAAGACTTTCACTCAAAAAAGAAAAAGTCCACCCATACACTGGAATGTTAGCCAGGAGGAGCAAGGCTATGACACTTATACAGCATGAATACACCTTCACAGCGTGCTCAGTGAGATGCCAGGTCGAGGACAGATGGGCGCCCCAGATAGGCAATGCCCAGGGCAGGCAAACTCAAGAGACAGGAAGTGGACTTGGAGGTGTAGGGCTGTGGAGGGGATGAATGGGGCTTCCTTCGGGGGTGGTGAAAACAGTCTAACATTGATAGGGTGATCTTTTTGTTTTATTGCAGTGTTGGGGTGAGCCCAGGGGTTCCCATGCTAGCCAAGTGCTCACACCCAAGTCACACTCCAGCCCTGAGAGTGGTGATGTTCACACAGGTCTTGAGTGTTCTGGGAATTACTAACCTGGCTAGGCTTGGAGGTGCCCACTTGCGACCTCAGCAGGGCTGGGAGGCCGAGACTGGATGGTCACAAATTGGAGCCCAGCCTTGGCAACTTAGCAAGGCCGAATCTCAAGAAAAGGGCCAGGGAGACGGCTCAGTGGCACAGCACCAGTGTGGCAAGCACAAGGCCCCCAGTTCAATTCCTGGTGCCAAAAAGAAATGGGGGGGTGGGGCTGGGAATGTAGTAGAAAGCTACAGTGTGGTGTTAATCTCAGTTCTGAAAAAGAAGGGAAGGGTAAAAAGAGGAAGGGAGAAAGACAAGGGACAGAGTGTGGCTCCGCAGGTGCTTGCCCAATATGAGACAACCTTAGGTTTTAGAAAAAAAGAAACACTGACCACTGACTTGCCTACTTTAGAAAGATAATTTTGAACTAAAATAGTTACCAAAAAAAAAAAATCCAAAGCCAGGTTTAGGGCCATAGATAGCTCAGTGATCTAAGTGCCTGCCTAGACAAGCTCAAGGACCTGGGTTCAATCCCTGGCACCACCAAGACTGAGCATGGTGGTGCACGCCTGTAATCCCAGTTCTAGATCACCACCAGTCTGAGCTGCATAGTGAGACTGTTAAAAAATTTTTAAAAAGATTTTAAAAGCCAGGTTTGGTGGTACCTGTAATGCCAGGACTTGGGAGGCGGAGGCAGGAGGATCACCTTGGGTGTGAGGCCAGTTTGGGCTACATAGTGAGTTCAAGTGCAGCCTTGACCCTATCTCAGAAAACAAAAAGGTAGGGGCCGGGGAGATGGCTCAGTGGAATAAGCACTTCCCTGGCAAGCGCAAGGGCCTGAGTTTGATCCCTGGTTCCGCAAAAAAAAAAAAAGAAAACAAAAAGGTAAATTTTTTTTTTTTTTTTGTACCAGGGACTGAACTCAGGACGTTATGCTTGCCAGGCAGCAGGCACTTAAGCTGTTTATCTATCTCCCCAGCCCTTAAAAAGGTAAATTTCTTTGTAAGTGAATATTTATATATGAACAAAAAGATTTCAGGACCCAGAAAACCTGGTCTGTTGGCAGTTTTATCCCACAACTTGGAGGGACGTGGAGCCCCCAAGAGGCCAGAAGGGAGAACAGCTGCCACAGGTGCCTGGAAGGATGCTGCCAGCTGCAGTGGAGCTCAGCTGTTCCCAAACACACCAAACCTGTGAGGTCTGCACGCAGGGGCCCCAGCTTTTGGATCCAAGTTCCAGTTGACACTGCAGCAGGGACACAGGACTGTGATCCGAGGCAGGGCTGTCAGTCATCTCCACAATTCCTGGTCCAGAGCCGAGGGCCCAGAGAGAAGCTATGAGAAAGCAGTAATTCCGGGGCTGGGGAGATGGCTCAGTAGACTAAGTGCTTCCCTGGTAAGAGCAAGCGTCTGAGTTCAATCCCTGGTTCTGCAAAAAAAAAAAAAAAAGTAATTCCGAATGCACTTTGTGTGATGGTGCATGACCTATCATCCCAGCACTCTGGGAGGCTGAGGCAGGAAGATCACAAGTTCAAACCTGTGAACTGAGCAACTTAGCAATGTAGCAAGGCACTCTCAAAAAGGGCCAAGGATAGAGCTCATTGTAAAGGCCTTGAGTTTAATCCTCAATACTGAAAAAAGGAAATAAAGACCCACAAGAGCAAATGAGGGGGCTGGTGAGATGGCTCAGTGGTCTAAAGCACCTACTTAGAACAAGTTTAGCAAATCACAGGGACCGAGGTTCAATCCCCCAGCACCACATGCCAGCCAGCACCGCCCCCTGGTGGGCTGAGATGGTCACACACACACAAATAAAATTTTAAAAAAAGAGCAAATGAGGCAGGATGTAAATTGGGGGGCAGTGTGAGGAAGGACATTTTGGGATAGGCTGGGCCCTGGGCAGAGAAACCAACACAGGAAGGTGTGATGATGAGTGTGACCTATAATCCTGGTATGTCAACTTGATTGGGTTAAGAAACACCTAGCAGGGCCAGGGGGATAGCTCAGTGGCATAAGTGCCTGCCTGGCAAGCAGAAGGTCTTGTGTTTGATTCCCAGTGCCAGAAAACAACCACCACCACCTAGCAGAAATTGGTGTGGTGGTGTGGATCCTGGAGGATCAACAGTTCGAGGCCAGCTAGGGTTACATGTAGTGAATTCCAGGGTACCATGAACTACATAGCAAGACCTTAAGTACACTACCCCTTGTGTTCTCCTGGGACATGGGAGCATGATCTGGGGCGCCGCATATTGTCCCTGGACCTTCATCTCTCATGCTGGGTTCCTTCTTGGCTTCTGGGCTGCCACATATGTAACCATCTTTCCTCTACCACACACTTCCACCATGAGGCTCCTGCCCTGGAGCCACTGACCCTGGACCGAGTCCTTGTAACTGTGAATTAAATGAACCTCTTGTCCAATAAGCTGTGTCAGGTGATGGCAGCCCAGCCACGTGTGCAGGGCTCCTGGGTAGAGAAACGTGGTAACAGATGTGGCTAGGGAAACAGCTCTGTAGCATAAGTGTCTGCCTGGCAAGCATAAGGTCTCGAGTTTGATCCCTGGTACTGCAAAAACAAGTACTGGATGGTCCAGGATGGAGTGAAGGATTGGACTCTGGGAGGGGTAAGGCTGGCAGGATAGATGGGAAGGAAAGGCCACCCTGTCCTGCTGGCCTGAGGTGGTTCAGCTGGAGTGGAGTACACCCTATTCCCCACCTGCAAGGGGCTTGTGGAACAGCTGAAGGTAGAGCTGCTGAGGCAGATGGCTTCTCAGTGGAACCCAGGTCCCTTCTTGTGCACCCAGAAGAGAGTGGGAACTTGCCCACACCAAGAAGTGTCAACGTGAAGATGAATTGGATTCTAGGAACATGACACCAGCTTCCAAGTAGGAGCTGCAGGGAGGAGGCCTCACTTTATTATTTTTGGGGAAGGTCTAGCTCTGTAATTCAGGTTGGGTTTAAACTCACTATGTAGCCCAGGCTGGCCTCGAACTTGTAATGGTCCGTCTGCCTCAGCCTCCTGAGTGTTGGTTTGACAGGTGTGCACCAGCATGCCCTGCTTGGGGGCCTGACATTAAAGTCCAGCAGGCTCCTTACACACCCTCTGGTAGAGGGAGCCAGGCCCAATGTGCTCCAGAGGAGTTCCCTGGTGTAGGAACGTCAGGGCAGGGTAAGGGGAGCGTGAGTATGGCTACAGGGGGACCCCAAACACTGGGAGAGAGGCCCTAGCACAAAAGGGTAGCGTCATAGTAGGCACAGGGGCTGGCCTTGCAAACCCAGTGGGATGGTGGACTTGAGAAAGAGGAACCCCCAGGTCTTAGGAGCCTAAAGAGGGAGTTCCCAGCTCGAACGAAAGGGACTGACAGAGCAGGAGCGATTGCCAGGTGGCTTGGGCTTTGCTGGACTCTGGAATCAGGCTCCATTTCCCACCCACCTCTGCTACCCCCTACTTGAAAGGATGTGGGGGACGGGTCCGTCACCCTTCCCTTCGAAGAGTCCTCAGGTCGCCTACCTATACTTGATGGATGAATGTGGGTGGGGTGGGGAAAGGGGCTGACTCCAGAAGTCCCTCGCGATCACGACTAATGTTCGGGACCGCGAGTCCAGGAAGCGTAAAGGGAATCTTCCACTGGGGGATGCACGAACACGATCAGGGGGCTCCGGCAGGGGAAATCCAGGTCCTAGGACGCGACCAGTAGGGAAGGAGGAGTCCCGGCTCGGGATTTCATACACCACCAGCCAGGGTGCTCCCACACGTGCGAACACTCAGGGTCCGCGCCCACAGTGGGGTGGGGTGACCACGTGACCCAGGCCCCGCCCTATGCCACTGCGCGCATGCGCATCTCGGGCGCCCATTGTTGGCGGTGGTGACGTAGCGGGGCGGGGCCAGGGCGGGGCCGGCGGCCCGGGAGGCAGGCGGGCGGCCGGGCGGCGGGAGGGCACGAGCATCC